CCTCCCTCCCTCCCTTCTTCAGATATATCTTCAAGCAGCTATAGAGTTTGTTGTTCAGGTGAAGTTTTCCTTCCCTCTGGTTTTACTCTGTATAACATCATCAGCTTTGTTTGAGATCCCCTCACAAACATTTGGCATCAAAAATGACAAGGGCCTTAGGGTGCTGTACTGATTAACAGATTAATTCTAGCATATACCTCTCAGTCCAACAGAAGATTTTTTGATAGTTTTAACGCAGCTACATCTCCAGAAGCATTTCACGAGTGTGTTTGTTCATTAATTCTCTCCTTCTCTTGGTTCTTTTTTTCTTGTGGCCCCAGAATAGAATAGACATAGAGGTGGTGACTAAGGAGGAACTTGGTCCAAGGCCCATAGCAAAATTTGAGCCCAGCATTGCTGAACCTGATGTGTGGACCATCTCCCAGAATTCTTAGCACTGGCCATGCTGCCTGGAGTATTCTGGGAGCTGAAGTCCACATATCTGAAGGAGCCGTGCTTGAAGAAGACTGTTTGAGCCCCATAACCAGAGATCTCTGGAGTTTGAAACCTCAAGGAAAACACCTTGAGTGGCCTCTTCCAGTCTCAGATCTCTAGACACCTTGGAGCAACACCCCCCAGCACCCCAAACTATGACGACTGAGTATTCTGCAAGTTATATCCCAGCACATCTGGATGGCACAGAATTGAGGAAGCTGCTCTAGAGACTTTGATCTCTAAGCCTGGTTTCATCAAAGAGGCGGCATAAATCATCATCAGCTGCCCACCTGGCTTTAGTTGACTGGGAAATGTTAAGTAGGGCTGGATTCTCGGCTAAAAGGATGAATCTGAGAACAGATTGCCAGTCCCAGGATGTATAATTTTTTACAGTGTACAAATTACTTCAGGGTAATAGAGATAATTTGGCTGTTCAGTGACCCAAAGAGCCTTGAGTTTGAGCTTTTGTTTAAAAAAAAAAAGAAAAGAATAGCAACTGATTTTCCTTCAGGTAAGTGTGCTTCTGTGACATACTCCCATGGTGGCCTCACTGCCTAAAACTGTGTCTGTTTAGGAGACCTTGTTTTCAAATAAGAGCTTCATCAGTAGGCTCCATGGATTGCTTTTCTGTTTCCTGATCTTCCTTGATCTGGTGCCTTCCTAAATGTATTGACGGAGGGCGAGAGGAAGTACAGACTTTTGCAGCGTTTCTCAACCTTAGCAACTTTAAGATTGAGTTGAAGTCCACACATCTTAAAGTTGCCAAGGTTGAGAAACATTGGTCTATTACATAACCTACTTGATTAGGAAAAGCTGAAGGAGATATTGCTGGTAGCTTATAAACCAAGGAAGCCGTGGTTCTCTGCACAACTGAACTGAACAGTGGAAAAAGGGTTGCTACTTTTCCGTAGCTCCCCCACAAGCCATAACATTCCTGTCTTTCCACTGCCTGAATGTATTATTTGAATTCTTTAAGATTAAATATAATTATGTCCAATGACACTGGAAGGATTGGCCAGTCCATCTGCAAATTGCATTTAGTCAGTGTTGGATTTTGGCACTTACCACCTATTGACTTGAGTGTAGTCATGTCCTGTAATTGGACCTGAACTGGACCATATAGGGGAAAGAGTTGTTAGCTGGAGCGCATAATAAAAACATCATAGATTAACAAATGTGCCTTGTATTCCTGTTTCAAGATTAGCAAACTATGTCTGGAATACTTGACTGGTGTTACATATGCACCGACTTGGACAGCTTTGCTGAGGTTCAGCAGATAAAAGCAGTGCATCTGTTACAGAATGAAATTAAGGTCCCCTCCAAGCAATCAGGTGATGGGTTTGGTGGTTAGTAATTTACACTGAAGGATGTGTTCTGGCATCACCGAATGAATGCTGAGTTTATTGATATGGCCAGCCATTCCCAGAGATTTATATGGCTATTGGGATCTGTCTGGAATGGTGCTCTGAGATTTTTTTGACTGGGGGGAGGGAGAAGGATCTAATTGAAAGTAAACACCATTGAAAGGGAGAAAGAAATTAGGGTTGCCAAGTGGGTGGGCACAGGAAACTGGGTGCAAAATTTCTATGGGAAAGGCGCAGATAGAATGACTTTTTTGTTAGGGTTAATTCTGAGCATATCTTTAGTTTCTTTTTGCCACAGAAGCCAAGACCGGTCACATGCTTATGATAGGAAATGATTTAATATACATTATCATGCTTTCATTAGAGAAAATAATGCTGAAAGGAAGAGGGTGCAGTCAGCACACAATGTCTTCAGCTAAGACTACTGGAGTCTATACACCTAAGCTGCTCTACCTACCTCACAGCACAGGGGGGTGGCTCTACTATTAGGCAGACGTTATGGAGGTAGATGCTGGAATGGTGTGCTCACCATACCTTCTAAGTCCCCTATGCTAGCCTTGAAGGGTGTTGTCCCATCAACAGTACTGAAGCAAAGTTCAACCACCAGCTTGTTTGCATCCTGTATGTAAAATAGGACACGTTGCTTGTTCATTGAGTTTGACTTGGACCTGGCTCCTGAAATTAACACATGCTGTCAAGGTGTTCTGATGGCCGGTTGTTAGGATACTGCTGCGAAGCACATTGATGTATAAGGCTAATGTGTGTTTCCAGTGCATTGCACTGAAATGGCAACCCGGTCGGTGGTCCTGCTGGCATTGAAGAGAGGAAGTATAGATCACTACCTAGGGTGGCATTTAATAAGCCAAGTGCCTTTAAATAATTAACTGAGGACCGACACCACCCTTGGCTTGCCAAATGTCAGCCAACAGCCATGTGGCCTTTTCCCCATGCCTTATTGACTGTTGCTCTCAAAGTGCGCCTTTCATAACAGCTTAAAGGGCGAGTGGAGAGGGGTTGATGTGACACAGAGGTAAAATCAGTGCGGCAAACAGAGGGAGATCAAGACAAAAAAAGTGTGCATCTGTACGGAGCTCTGCTTTGACAATGCATACTGGGGTGGGTGCCGTTTTGCACAATGCTGCAGCCTTAGCTGGATTTTTCATTGAAACAATAAAAAGAATGGAAGCAAATAGCTTTTTTTAAAAACAAACCAACAAATGGCAAGTCTAAATGGCCTTTGTTCAAAATGTAGGCGCAGAGTGTGACAGCTCTTGAACAGCCTTTCCCCAGCCTGGCGCCCTCCAGATATGTTGATCCCAAGTGTCTTCAAATCCCTGGCTATTCCAGAAGCTTTTATTTAGAAGAAGCAGGCATGGCTGTTTTCAAGCCTAGCCCTGTCTGCTCAGAATTGATTGATTAAATAGATATTTTGTACTGTTTCCCCTGCAATCATTTCAATTGCTCAGTAATCTTTCCAAACGTTCCACCGTTATTTCTGCCCTGCAGATGACCCCGAGCGTTCAGTAGCTGATCATCTGTGGTATGGAAAAATTTCAAAAAGAGGGATAGGACAATAATAAAATCACGAATAAACATCAGTCTGAATGTTTCTATGGGGAAATGAGAGATGATATAATACATGGCATCTCTGGTTGTCCAGTTGAAGAAAAGCTGTAAAAGCTGATTAAATCCCAAAACTACATAACTTCTGAAAGAAGGGTGTGTGCAACAATTGTTACGCTTGACATTTTTTGGAGGACTGAAAGCTGCAGTAGGTGAATTGATGTTACCAAATAGGCAGGACCATGGATTTTCTGTCTTTTTCTCCTTAATCCCAATCTTCCAACCTTAGGGGTTTTTTTTGGGGGGGGGGCGGATTTTAAGGTCCTACACTATGAATTTGGTATGTTCTCTACCTCACAATGTCAGGAAACCTTGTTAGAGTTTTTTTTAACCATTGAGTTCATGAGGCCTTCAAAAAAAAAAAAAACTCCATGTGGCCTTAGGTTACTCTCTTGTCATAGGACAATTCAGTGGATTCTTCTTCCTCTTCTGCACGCAGCAGTTCGGAATCAGGGAGGAGAGCTGATTGTCAGCTGGGCATCAAGGCAGGCATAGATAATCTTCCAGAAAGTATGGTCAGAAGAACCTCCCAGTGGAAGATTTGAATGCTCCTGACAGGGGTTCCAACTAGTCTTCATAAAGAGCAAAAGAAAAGGAGCTTAGGTGGGCTAGATTCTCCCTAAATGAACTAGAATTCTGAAGCTTTGACCCTTTACAGGAAATGATTGTCCTTTGGAATAAGTTGGCTGAGTATTCAGCCAGATGGCCCCTACTTTTGCAGTTGAGATGACCCTTCTGAATAAAATATTCAGAGAATGAGGATTGTTGACCCAGACCTCAGGTGATGTAGGATATTGTTTTAGAGATTGCAAACCTCTGCTTTTTCAGATACTCTTGGTCCACCAACACCTTAGCTATTGTCCAGAAAGCCCAAATTACTGAATCCTATAATAATTAGAGAGAGAGAGAGAGAGAGAGCGCCAG